GGGCCCCCCCAGTTTGGGAACCCTCGCTAAAATTTAAATTTTTTTTTTTTTTTTTTTTTTTTTTTTTTTTTTTTGTTTGTTTTTGTTTTGTTCTTTTTCCCCCTCAGCATCTTCTACCAATGTCATGGCTCCCACAGAGGCTATCCAGGGCCAGGCAGCCTCTGATACACCGGTGCGGACCCCGGGGCCCTCATCTGCTCCGGACTCGAGCCCATTGACGTCCTCAAATAGGAGCTCCATGCCCGCCTCCACAGCCGGAGGCACAGCGACCAGACAGCCGACCACGCCTTCTCTCCCTCCCAGAACACCATACGCCAACGTTGGACCATTGCCCCCTGGGTCGGTTCTTATGTTGCAGTCTGCGCCGCACGAAAAAGCTGTATCAGCAGAAAATACAGGAAGAGAAGTTAATGAGTCATTCAGTGAGACAGCTTTAGGAAATGGTGCTGTATTTTTTTTTTTAGCCAAACAAACCAGTAATCTAGATCAATTTAGGGCATAAATATTAATTTCTGAAACCATTGGATGTTTTCTTAAGGCTGTTGTAATGTAGTTGTTTTTCAGGAAGAAAAGCTTAAACTTTTAGCATAGGTTTGCCACACACGAATTATGGGAAATGTGTGCCTTTTTAAATGCTGTCTTGTATGTGTGATTTTTATTTTTTTTTTTCACTTGTTTGTCCTATAGATGGGAGCAGAGAGTGGATCAGAATGGCAGGTTGTATTACGTGGATCACATTGAAAAGAGAACAACATGGGAACGTCCTGAGCCGCTCCCCCCTGGGTACAACTTCTTTTCTCATGACTGATGGCTTTAAATATGGATATACCAGTATTGCAGTAATTGCAGTTCTTATTTTTAATATCTCTACAAAGTCAGCTTGCATAGGTTCACAGTTGAGGGAAAAGTTTCTTCATGTTGTTCTGGTGATTTCCATGAACTTGCCTCTTCCTATTTCTCCATATAACGATTATTTTATTATTTTATTATTTTCTCAAGTGTTGCAGAAATTAATGTTTCCCTTTTGCATGTCTAAAGGTGGGAGCGTCGTTTTGATCAGATGGGCCGTGTCTACTTTGTTGATCACATCACCCGAACTACCACATGGCAGCGGCCCACGGTGGAGACGGTGCGTAACTATGAACAGTGGCAACACCAGCAGAGCCAGCTGCAGGGCGCCATGCAGCAGTTCAACCAGAGGTTCATCTATGGGGTAAGACTTCCTCCTTAACCTGAGATGGGCGAGTGAGGGAATGTGCAGTTTCGCTTTTTAAAAAAAAAAACAAAACCTCAAAGCAGAAGAAAAGCATTTTTTTTCCCCGCTGAGCTTTGTTTTTTAAAAACGTTGTTAAATGGTTAATAGAGGAACCATGTTGTCAGGAGTTTCAGATAGAAAAAAAAATGTGTCTTAAAGACATTACACTGGTATCATGAGCTTTGTGTAGTGTGAACCTAGTGAAATCTGTTATGAATAAATTTTCTAAGTAATATCCAAATCTAAAATATATCTGAATACACAAACTGTGAATTCAGACAACTTGTGACTTAAAAAAAAGGAAAGTGCAGCAAAGATATTCAGCGTCTGTGATTCTGTGGTCTTAAGGCAGCATTTCATTTAATAAACATTTGATCTGGAAATCTCTACACAACCTCAAAACCACTTCCTCAACCACTTTTACTTCACCAATACAATGAAGCAACTTAAATGACATAAATATATTTCCACATGTTGTCATGCTTCTCTGTTCTTTGTCTGATGTGGAAAAAAAAAAAAGATTTCTGGGCAAGATTTTGATCCAGCGCTTAATAATTGTACATAAATTTGTGTCACAGAATCAAACGGAACCCTGGAAAGTCTTGTGCTTCATTACAATTTTATCCAGTTTTAGTCAAATTCAGTTGTTTTTTTTTTTTTTTTGTCAACATTTGTCCTTGAAGGTTCAAGACCAGGCGGCAGCTTCTCAGAATAAAGAGTTTGATCCTCTTGGCCCTCTGCCTGCTGGATGGGGTAAGATCTTTAAAGGCGCCACAGCCCTTCAGTGGATCAGGCACATGAACATTGACCCATCATAACAGGTTGTAAAGTTAAATTCAGTATACAGCCCAGATCCTTTTAGGAAAGTCAAGATAGGTTTATTTGAAAAACATCGTTCATGTGAGTGATTCAAAGAACTTTGATAGAAAACGAAAGAACAGATAATAAGAAGGGCTGGTCAGAAATATTTAGACGTCTAAAGCTGAGCCCAGAAAGTTCAATTTATGTTTCTATATGTACATATAAAAAAACTAACTCATGCAAAATTATACAGAAATATAGTAATCGCATAGAAATGTGGCTTAAAAAGATGGGCTGAGACCATACGAGGACTTTCGGAAGCAAATGGAGTAGATGGTTGCGTCAGAGCCTCTCTCCCACCTTAATACCAAAAACTCTCGTTCAAAACTCATTAATATGCTCAGTGTCTCAACAAAATAACTTATGAACTGCAGGAGAAACATGTCGAGCCATAAAAAAAATCAATAAAGATGCCCAAAACTCAGGATAAAAGCACCCTGGTTGCTAAAGCTGTAACACGCGTTCGAATCAAGCTAGCAACAATGTGGCTAGTGTGGGAGCTGAGAGCACTGGAACGAACATGGACTCGGAGGGATTACTGCATGACTATTGAAGATTTGAAGACTGTCTTGAAGGGGGATAATGCAAAGCTACAACAAAACATCGACCATCTGCAGAGTATTGCCACTGAGGTGCAGAGCTTGGCAGAGCGGGTTGACGAGGCGGAAGCCCGCGTTCATCAAGTGGAGAACTGGAAATGGGAAGCGACCGAAGCGCTGTGCTTCTGCATTGAGCAACAGAGAAAAACACAGCTTAAAGTGCTTGATTTAGAGTCCCGATCCAGAAGAAACAACGTACGTGTCTTTGGGGTGCCAGAAGGTCAGGAGGGGAACTCCACCACATAATATATTGAGACGCTTCTGAGTAGGGTTACCACCCATCCCTTAAAATATGGAATCGTCCCGTATTTGACTGTTAAATGTTGTGTCCCGTATTGAACTGATACGGGACGCGGGTTGTTCCGTATTCTATAACTGTCCGATAGACACGCCTATCACACACATCAACACTAAGTGTAACAATTATGACCAAAATAAAACACAGGAAATATTAAGGTCAACTAAATTGTCGTGGCGGAATGTAGGACTCCAAAGTAAGCTACGGACCGACGCTGTTGTCACGGTTGCCTAGAGATGGACACTAAGCAGTCGCTGTGAGATGCTGTCAACCCGGGTCTTAAAACGTCCTCGACCCAATTCTCCACCGTCCTTAGAAGTAAAACCTCTCACAAAGATACAGACGTGCGAGGGAAGACGCAAATCCTAGGCTGAATGTCAGTAAGGATGAACACAGGCAATTAAAAAAAATGTGTCCATCATGGTGCACATGGTGCAGTGTGCTGCTGTATGAATGGATCAGGACAGGAACTGCAGAACCTACAGAACTTGACATCGTCTCTTCATCCTTCAATCATCTCCTGAGGCTGATATGGTACAGAACATTTTGCTACGAGTAAGCTTCTTATTGTGCTTTTACTGGTTTGATTATTTGCTTATTTAATGTATAATATCAGCCAAAATAATACAAGTGGTCATTTAAGGAACAAATCATACAAATAGATTAACACTAAATACATAAATATTTCCTACTTTAAAAGGTTTGTTAGGGCTTTCTGTGGGTTTTATTTTGAAATGTTGATATATTTTTGAATATACATTCATTTAATGTATTAATGTCAGACCTGGACTTGCCGCCCAGGGGCGGTTCTAGATGGGGGCCAACGGCGTTCCAAAGAAGTTACTCAGTGGTGGATCACTTTTTTTTTATTTTTTTTTTTTTAACCTTCATAATTTTACTTTAACAACAAATTAAAAATTATAGTGCTGCACTGTATAGGATCATACTTTCCATCTGACGGGGATCTGTAACCAAGATCTCTGGAGACACAAGTGGCTCTTTGGCTCACTAATATCAAATGATGAAATATTGCTCTGTTTCTTCTTTTTTTGTTTCTTTCTCTTTCAAGTGTTGCCATGAAAAAAACACTGACTATCCTGGCCGGTGTGGTAAATTTGGTCCAGCCTCCAAACCTAACTACTTATTTCTATAAATATTTTAGTAATATTCTTTACAGTACCATAATGTTCACATAGCTTTTATACTTTTGGCTTTCTGAGGATACATTTTGAATATTAAATCAGGTGTTATGATCAGTTACTCAATACTTGAGTGGTTTATCAAATACTTTTTACACTTGCTTAATTAAACATGTTTAAGGTATGCTACTCTGATTGGAGTACAATTTTGGGGTACTCTAGCCAACTATGCATGAACGATTGCTCTATGGATCACTTTTTAAAGACAAAAACACCGCCATAAAATAATTTTATCACTGCATTGGACATCCCATCCCATGAGAGTAGGACGACGAGCCGTGGTGGGCGTCCCTCATTTTAATTTCTGAAAGGTGGCAACCCTACTTCTGAGAAGCCAGCAACAACTACCGGAGGACCTTGACTTGAAAATACAGCGCGCACATCGCACTCTGGCAAGTAAACCACTACCCGACTCACCACTGAGGGCTTTTCTCAACTTTTTGGAATTTTCTACAAAAGAAAAGATCTTAAGAGAAGTGTGGAAAAAAGGCAAGATCCAGGTGGGCTCTTCAAATATACACTTTCGATCACGATTATGTGGGCTCCCTGACAAAAAATTTGTTTGGGGCCCCCCTGCACAGCTGCTGTTACATTTTTTTGAGTCTATTTGACCCATCACAATTTTAAAGGCTTGCATCTGCCTTGCTTTCTTTGGTTCAATACTGATAATTAGCACAATATTTACTGCTCATGAATTTAACATCCAACAGTCCACATCCAGTATGCAAGTAGGTTGCTTAAATTTTTTTCTATTAATTTTAGATACTGAAATATCTCTCCATGAGCAACAGTCAAAAGCAACGTGCAAATACACATAAAGCAATCCAGACTTCTCAAAAATGCTATGCAGCTGCATTTTATTCAAGCTGCAGTACATAATTTTAATAAAAAATATGTTTTCTCCATATTTGTTAAAGCTGTCACTA